TGGGTCTCGAACCCGCGGTCTCAGGCAACCCACTCACCTCAGCCTCCCAAAGGCGTGGGATTACAGGCTAAGCCACCGAGCCCAGCTAGGTAAAGATTTCTTAGATAAGCCACTAAAAGAATGATTCATACCAAAAAAATTGATAAACTAGACTTTACTAAAATTAAAAACTTGTGTGCTTCAAGACACAGTAAAGGGAATGAAAAGTCGAGACACAGACCGGGAAAAATATTTTCAAATCAAATACCTAATAAGGGACTTGTATTTATAATTTATTTCTAAAATTCTGTAAACTTAATAATAAAACACATCTAATTTTAAAATAGTCAAAAGATTTGAACAGACACATCACCATAGAAGATATACTGATAGAAAGGTAGAAATAGTTTCATGGCTGGGCTTGGTGGCTCAGCCTGTAATCCTAGCACTTTGGGAATCCAAGGCGAGTGGATTGCAAAATCCCGCGGGTTCGAGACCAGCCCGGGCAACTTGGCGAGATGTCGTCACTACCATAAATCAAAAATTTGCCAAGCATGGTAGCGTGCACCTGTAGTTCTGGCTACTTGGAAGACGGAGGCAGAAGAATCGCAAGAGCCCAGCAGGTTGACGCTGGGGTGGCCATGAGTGTGCCACTACACTCCAGCCTGGGTGACGGAGTGAGACTCTGACTCAAAAAAAAAAAAGAAAAAGAAAATAGGTTCATGAGAAGATGTCCAACATCATTTTTAACTAGAGAAATTAAAATTAAAACTATAAAGAGATATTTCACACCTATTAGAATGTCTATAATTTAAAATATTGACCAAACCAAGTATTGGCAAAAATGTAAATGAAATAGAACTCTCACAGATTACTATTGGGAATAAAAATTACAACTACTTTGCAAAAGAGGTCAGAAGTTTCTTACGAAGTTAAATATACACCTACCATATAAGACAGTCATTCTACACCAAGATATTGACCAAGAAAAAGAGAAGCATATGCTCATACATAGACTTATACATCAATGTTCATAGCAGTTTTAACTGTGATAGTCAAAGAATAGAACAACTCAAATATCAACATTTGCTCGATGTCAAACCTTCAACAAGTGAACAGATAAAAAAAACCAGGGTATGTCCTTATGAAGGACTACTATTCAGCACTAAAAATTAATGATACACACAACAGGAATGAATCTCAAAGTAGTTACACTGAATGAAATCTATAATAGGAAGTAGATCAGTGGTCAGCTTAGGGATGGGAAGCAGGGTCAGGGAGGAGTGAGAGGGAGTAAAACAGGGCATGGGAAAACTAAGATTAAGACTATCTTAATTGTAATGATGGTTTTGGGGGTGTATACATATGTCAAGAGTTATTAAATTATATACTTCAAATATGTCCAACTCATAGTACACTTATACCTAAATAAAACTATTGCCTATGTGTTTCAATGCATTTTATTATATTTTGCACATAAAAATATTTATAAAAGAAGTATAAAAGAGTACGAAGAAACAAGATTAAGTCTTTAGTGCATGTGTACTCCTGGATGGTTAATACTTACTGCATATGTATTAGTCCAATGTTTCACCACTTCTTGAGATCGGAAGTGCATTTCTTTCTTTGCCTTTCTTTCTGCACGAAGGCGTGCTGCTTCTCTTGTCAAACTGTCAAGGCTATTTTGAATCCTTTTCCATTCATTGTGTGGAATTATGGTGACCTGCTGGAGATCCACTTTGCTAGGTAGAAGAGGCGGATACAGAATTTGATCTTCTTCAGAGTTTCTTATTTCTAATAAAAAGTTGAAATGGTTATTAAAGACTTTCAGGAAGTGTTTAAAGTGATATTTTTTCTCAGAAATTTCTATGTCATAATGATACCTGGAAATTGTTTCAAATATTTAATTTATTCTAGTTATCCTAAGAACATCTAGGGTTAAGTAAAGAATAATAATAATAATATAAAGCCTTGAAATCAGAATAGATTTGAGTCCTTGCTTAGTCATATTCTTTCTGTGTAAACTTGGGCAAGTCATTTAACTTCTTGGAATCTCAGTATCCTCATCTTTAAAATTGAGATCAACAATACCTATCCCAAAATGCTGCTATAAAAGCATTTTCAAAGTTAATAAAGTGGCAGCTTATAAATGGATAACTTTGGGGATGTCCATCTTGTGGGGTTTTATTGTGACTGACTCTATTCAACCTCTTGTCCACTGAGTAGTAACAATGCAATTTGGAAAACAGACTATAGTCCCGGGGTAGGCCTAATTAGTTTAAGAATACTTGTATCTCCCTTGACAATAATTATTTCTCTAATAAGCAAAAAAACAGGACAAGAGGTTTACTTGCAACTTTTAGAAAAAAGTTCCTTGTTTTTCTGGAAGAGACATCCAAAAGGCTCTCAAGCTAGATATGAACAAGGAAGCAAGAAGGACAGATAGGCAGCTATCCTATGACCACAAGAGAAACCAGCCTTGAGTGAAGCTGTTATAGCAAAGAAGCTGTTACTGCAAATAAAAAACAAAGGAAGAACTTGGGGAAATGATGATCTCATGATGCTGCTTATCAATCCAAACCGAAGCCTGGAGTTCATGTTATATGACTGAATACCTTTACTTATTTTTGAACATGATTGAGTTGGGTATTCTGTAAACCCATTCATAGCATCCTAAATGACACAGTGGAACTTGCAACTGCTCTACTTGAAAAAATGCTCCTACCCTTTTAATCAATTGAGACTCTTAATTATTAACAAACTTACTCTAGCTAGTTTAAGCAGTAAAGGAATTCATTAAGGGACATTAGGTAACCTACTGAATCTCCTAGAGAGCCAGAGTCATCCTTATAAGTACATATGCAAAACATCACACAAACCACATCATGAAGTTCCAGTGAAGGCCCATGGCAACTGGCACAGAGTAGACAGACACCTCAACCTGCCCCATTTACAACCTGCCTCACTGGATACCATATGCATGAACCTTCACCACTGTTGTCTCTGAAACTGGTACACTTTTGCCAACATTTTCTCCAAAAAAAAATGGATTCAACATGCTGTTAGCTTCCTTATGTTGCTCTTTTCAGAATATAAATCTGGCATATGTTACATTGTTTAGCTGAGTGTTGGTCGTATGCTTCGACTTTAGCTGCAAGGGATGCTGAAAAAAGAAATTCTGTCTTCTATCTTAGAGAGGTAGTACTTGTAGGGGAAGGAAATTCATCAAAATAGAAAAGGCATTTGAATAATGATGAGTGGCCCCAGACATAACAAAGGTAGTATAGCACAGTGGGTGAGAGTGTGGATTCTGGAGTCAGATTACCTGGACTTTTTTTTAAACACACAGTATATTAACTATGTGAATCTAGACAAATTATTTAACCCCTCTGAGGCTGTTTAATTAATTGCAAAGTAGAGTTATAAACAGCACCTACTTTATACAGTTGTTGTGAGAACAAAAGTCATATATGTAAAGAATTTAGGCCAGGCGTGGAGGCTCATGCCTGTAATCCCAGCACTTTGGGAGCCAAGGTGGGAGGATTGCTTGAGTTCAGGAGTTCAAGACCAGCCTGGGCAAAACAGCAAGATCTCATCTCTACAAAAATCAAAGGAAAAAAAATTATCCAGGCATGGTGACATGTATCTGTAATCCCAGCTACTCAGGAGACTGAGGCAGGAGGATGGCTTGAGTCTAGCAGTTCAAGGCTATGGTAAGTCATGATTGTGCCACTGCATTCCAGGACCTGGGTGACAGAGTAAGACCCCAATACAAAAAAAGAATTTTGAATAGTGCCTGGTACACAATGTGTATTAGTCTTCTTACTATTTTTGTGAGGAGAAGAATGAAACAGAAGTAGAGAGAAAGGCAGAAGTAAGAAAATCACATGATTTCTGAAAGAAAGAAAAGCTGCCAGAATCAATTAGAGTTGCTTTGGGGTTTGGATTAAGTGAGAAGATGGTGGCAAAACTAAAGTATGAGTTTAGAACCACAGGTACCACATCTTGTCTACCACATACCAAGTCTCTGCATGCAGAATAAAACCACACAAAGCTGAAAAGTACAATAGTGTCCTGGATCAAGTTATACCTCAATTCTTTGGCATGTGAGTCAAAGTGAGTCTCCTTTTGTTTAAAGTGTTATGTTAGATTAGTCACTTGTAACCAAAGAGCCCTGACCAATACATCCCTATAGGATTATAAGAAATTTTCTTTTTTGCCTAAACCAGTTCAACCTGACTTGTGTTAGTTGCAGTAAGAAGCTAACCAAACAATGCCCTCCAAGTTAAACCACCTGCCTTTTGATTAACATATTGTTAGGCATGTTAATATCTTTTTAATTATTTAAGATGTGAAATAAAATGGAGAAAATTTAATTCACCAAAATTCTAAAGGGGCTCAGTAGAGCAAACAGTCCACTTTGGCAGAAGTTGCTCAGTAGAGCAAATAGTCCACTTTGGCAAAGTATTGTATAGTACAGAGTAAGTAGGCCATGGCAGTGCTGGCAGAAGAACAGGATGTCAGAAAGCTGTGCAATGTGCAGCTTTGACATCTCTCAAATCTTGAGTAGAGTAACTGTATTCACAGGATGTTTTACTCGAGCAGATCTTTTCATGGACTCTCATATAGGAACAGAACAAAGAGAACAACCACAAAAGCAGGAATAGAGGTGGGTAACCACAAAGAAATAAGAGAGAGTGCCCACAGAAAGCTTGGGAAAGGCCTTTTACTATCTCAGGTCACTGAGGTGTCGAGTTTCCCTATATCTTTGAATATCAGGACAGTCCTAGTTGATATCAGAGCTTTAGATGATTTCATATATCCCTGCTTGAATCCACTGGGTTAATACTGAGTTTGGTTCTCAGAGGCCAATCTTATTTCTGAGATATGTACCTCACAGTGTTTCTTATAAGATGCCAGTAGAGGCTGTTAGAGAAGTTAAAGTAAGGAGGGCAGGCCACTGCTAAACAAAGGAACATGAGAGACAGAGACAGACAGAGAGAGAATATAAATAGGCAGAGTCTGAAATGGTAGAGAGGTGACAAAAGCAGTGACAAATGATCTAACGGTTTCTAAAATTAGTCCATGTGCCTGCCATATTAACACGTTTTCCATGGATTACATAATCTTTTGAAATTGAGATATAATACATATAGCATAAAATTCACCATTATACAGCAGGGCACAGTGGCTCACGCCTGTAATCCTAGCACTTTGGGAGGTGGAGGCAAGAAGATTGCCTGAGCCCAGGGGTATGAGACCAGCCTGAGCAACTTGGTGAGACCTTGTCTCTACAATCAATCAAAAAATTAGCTGGGTGTGGTGGTGCATGCCTGTAGTTCCAGCTACTTGGAAGGCTGAAGTGGAAGAATCACCTGAGCACAGCAGGTCAAAGCTGCGGTGGTTGTGAGCACACCGTTGCGCTTCAGCCTGGGCAACAGAATGAGATTCCGACTAAAAAAAAAAATTATCAGATTGTTCACTGCAAATGTATAGCTATATACTAAATTTTGTAAATTGATCATTTATCTTTCAATGCTATTGACCTTTATTAGTTTAATAATTTTTTAGTACGTTCTTTAGGATTTTTTTTATAGAGAATATCATGTCATCTGTGAATACAGAGAGTTTTACTTCTTCCTTTCCAATATGGATACCTTTGGTTTGGCTTGCCTAAATGCTCTGGCTATAATTTCAATTTCTTCTTGAGTCAGTTTCTTTTTTTTTAAGATTAGAACATATAGTTTATTTAGAAAGTAAATTAGAGAGAAAGAGATTCACCTTCCCAAGGTAGGAGAGGGGGCCAAAGCCAGGAAACATGGCCTGGTCATAGCTCAAAGAGCACATGGCCACACCATAGCTTAGCAAGGCAATGGTAAGTCAGTTTCAACAGTTAGTGTCATTTTAGAAATTTGCTTAACTCATTTAGGTTATCTAATATTTTGGCATACAATTGTTCATAGTGTTCCCCAATAATCCGTTTTATTTCTATATGGTGAGTAGTAATGTCTCCTCTTTTATTCCTGATGTTAGTGATTTAAGCCTTTTCTCTTTTTCTCTTGGTCAATCTAGCTAATGATTTGTCAATTTTGTTGATCTCAAAAAAACCAATTTTGGTTTTAGTGATTTTCTCTACTGCTTTTCTGTTTTTTTTAGTTCACTTATTTCCTCTAATCTCTATTATTTCCTTCCTTTGCTTGTTTTGTGTTTCCTTTGTTCCTCTTTTTCCAGTTGCTTAGGGTGTAATGTAAGGTTATTTATTTGAGATCTCCTTTTTAAAATAAATGGTTATGAATTATCTTATGTGTAAACTTAGCTGGATGATGGCAACCAGTTGTTTGGTCAAACATTAGTCTGCGCCTGTAGTTCCAACTACTTGGAAGGCTGAGGCGGAAGGATCGCCGGAGCCCAGCAGGATGAGGCTGCAGTGGCCAGGAGCGGCCACTGCACTCCAGTCTGGGCAACAGAGTGAGACTCCAACTCAAAAAAAAATCTAAAACATTAGTCTAGATGTTTGTAAAGGTATTTTTTAGATGTGATAAACATTTGCAATCATTTCACTCTAGGTAAAATCAATTGACCCCATAATGAGGGTGAGTCTCATCCAATTAGTTGAAGGCCTCAAAAGCAAAGACTGAGATTTTCCAAAGAAGGAATTCTGCCTCCAGTCTGCAACAGAGAAATTCTGTGTGAGTTTCCAGCCTTCAAACTCAAGACTGTAACATCAACTTTTACCTAAATCTCCAGGTTGCCTGCTTGCCCTATAGATTTTAGACTTGCCAGCCCCTACAATT